CGGGGGGGGGGGGGGGGGGGGGGGAGGTCGTCGTCCGGATTCCGGCCGCGGCGTGGTCCCAGAAACGTCTTGTACACGTTCGCCTATTGAACATTTGTCACATGTATAATGTACATATACTAACGTATATGCTAGCAGGTAAATGAAGAATCTTGTGCGACCCCCTACAGTCTTATGTATTTATACGTAGCTTTATGCTGCATTCATACGCTACACACCCACACTGTACATTGTCACATTTGCACAGTATACGATCATCACAGAGTGTTCGCCAGTGTACACGTTAACATACGGCGAGGCCGGATGCTCGAACGGGAACAACGCAGTCTCGTAGATACGTAATGCCTGAGAACGATAATGGTCTGCCCGCACAGAGTCGTTCTATCTTCGTAACTGGCATTTGGACCCCGTGAAACGGGTCGCTTTGAAACGTGTTCCCCGTCGAACGTCGCCGACTCTCGCACGGTACAGTAAAGGTTGGACTGTTCGAACGATCGACGTAACCGCAGAGAGTTTTATGAGCACTACCCATCAAGTATTTCTTGACTCCTCCGCCGTAGAAGTATCTGTTTAAGTCCCGAAGTATAAGCTGTACGTACTACTACGTATCCGCACACGCAGATACACACACACACACATATACGTTTCAAAAATACACAGAAAGAGTGACACGCACACACGCACAAACACGGTATTCTAAATACACATAGACACGCACACAAGTAATTGAGAGTTCCAGTAACAGTGTCGGATAGCGTTGAAGTTTTGAAGCCGCATCGAAGAGACCGTCGCCGATCCGGGTTTCTTCTACCCCTTTTGAACTGCTTGCACTCTACCCCAGTAGGTTGTTGAACCGGCAGCGAACTCAAGCATAGAGCACACGGATCTATATAAGATGTCCCAAAGTTATGGTACTTCCGTGGAATGAGGGGTTCCTGAGGCAATTTCAAGCAACTTTTTCCTCTGCGAAAATGCGATCCGCGGCTTCGTTTACGAGTTATCAACGAAAAACGGTGACCAATGAGAGGCGAGCTCGACGGTGCGAGGCGGCGCTAGGCGGCCGAAGCGCAGTTCCGCCTCGCGTCGGCCGAGCTCGCCTCCCATTGGTCACTGTTTCTCGTTGATAACTCGTGAACGAAGCCACGGATCGGATTTTCGCTGAGGAAAAAGTTGCTCGAAATAACCTCGGGAACTCCTCATTTCATAAAAGTACCATAATTTTTGAACACCCTGTAGAATCGCAGAGCGAACCGTTGCTGGCTGGCTCGCTTTCCGAAGGAGGACACCGGATGGTAAGCGAAGAAGAAAGCGGGCTCAGTGAGCAGCCGATTAAATCGAAGTTATTGTACATCTCTTGTGTATTATCCACGGTACTAGTAAACCCCCATAAAGCTTCGCGCGTAAACGCCCCAGGACTGCGCGTCATTGTTCTTTCTTTCTTTCTTTTTTCTATTTCGGGAACCGCAGTCCGACGCAGTACAATCAGTCGGGCCGCTTCAGTTTTTATCATACGTGTCTCATACAACATACCGCTAGTTTGATTTAATTGCTCTGTTGTTCGCATATTAAGAGATATAATGTCGGTGTTGACGAGACCGTGAACGATCGAGCCAATAATCCTGCCATTCTCGTTGTTTTCTTGTGATAGGAGCGGTTTTCGAGTGGCGGCCAACTAGGCGAAAAAAAGGTATAAATATGTCGTCATCTTTCGCAACCGCAGACGTAAGTGTGCCGGTTTTACCTCTAATCTCGGGACAATGTGAAAGACTTCGGGACCACACGCTACGACATCCGACACGAGAGAAAGATGAGATTCTCGTAGGACGTAATTCTCAAACAGGACACACGAGATATTCATACATTGCATAAACACTCGACACGGCGCGTGTATCGGGTCACCGTTGTAATTTCCCTCCGCGAAAACCACGAAATTTGGCAAACGCTCTCGCGAATACAGTCGAAAGTGTGTTAGGTAGTTTCTTCGTGGTCCAAAACACGATTCGCCTGTAAAATTATGATACTTTTCTAGGAAATTGATCAAACATTGCCCCTAGGGGCGGAGTCTGCTCTGAATAGGCGTGGTTTTGGCTCGCAAGGCGTGGCTTTGGCTCATAGGGCGTGGTTTTCGCCCCACAAGGCGTGGCTTACGACAGCTGGGCGTCTTATTTCGCTCTCTAGAAGCTGCCAGCTCCGAGTTGCCGCGACATCGATGCCCCCGAATCACGTCCAACTCCAAGTGGGCGTGGTTCCTTCGCTCTCGGGCGTAGTTCCTTCACCCCGGGGCGTGGTTTCGCCGCAATGGGCGTGGCAGTGTCCCAAATATCCTAGAATTTCTCGAGTTGCATAAAAAAGATATCCGTTTCCTTAAAAACTGCATTATCTGCGGACGGAACGTACGCGGCGACCCGCACAAGTGTCTCAACATCATTCGCGTGTACACAAACCAACACGAGACAAAAGCGCAAGGCATATGGATGCGGTATTAACGCGCGGTACAGAAAAGCTAAAAGACGACAAAAAAAGGGAACAAATTCCAGCAAATGGGTTCAAAGAACGATGGGTTCGAACGATGGATTCGAAACGATAACAATCGCGTAGACACGTGAGAATGCAATGCTATGAAATATTTCAAAAAAGAAACAAAAACAAAAGAAAACCGGCCAAACTCGGTCGGAGTTTCCGATGGACGAACGGGTCCATGGAGGTCCACAAGTGTTTTCCCGTAGCTTCGTACGTGTACCGAAAGGATTTCGAGGCTTCTCCCAGATTCTCTCGGATCTTGGGACAAGCTGTCGTCGATGCCGATCGCGTCACACGCACGGAGCCCGATCCTGATCGCGATTAAGGAGCCGGCATTTGTTGGGAGTTAAGTGCAATTTCCTCTGTCCCCTGCAGGAGAACTTCATCAACGTCGGCTTCCTGAGGCTGTTTCGCGCCGCTAGGCTGATCAAACTACTCAGGCAGGGCTACACGATACGAATTTTACTCTGGACCTTTGTACAATCCTTTAAAGTAAGCCGACAACCGTTCGCGCTCGCTCGCGACAGAAAACCCTTCCGCACGGAACACACCGATCGAACTTTTGCTTAACTTTTCCAGGCTCTGCCTTACGTTTGTCTCCTCATCGCGATGCTGTTCTTCATCTACGCGATCATCGGTATGCAGGTACGTATCGGCTCCGTCGGGCCCCGGAACGAACGGACGACGAACATTCCCGAGAAACCCGGCCGGCGAGCTACGGGAGCCCAGGGAGAACCGGAGAGAGAGAGAGAAGACCGACGCGATTTCTCCGTTCGTTCGCACAGAAACATCGTACACCATGGACGTGCTGTCTCTCTCTCTCTGTGTGTTGTTTTTCCTAGGGTCCCGCGCTTCCGTTCGCGCGATCCACGTTGAATAAAACGAACAGGGAAACGGGCGTCGATGATAAACTATAGCAACCGTGAAACACGAACGAACAGGCGCGAGAAGATCGCAAGTCGAAGCGACTACCCCCAGTGACCGTTCTGAAATTCCGTTGTCAGGTCTTCGGCAATATATCGAACGATCCAGGAACAGCGATCGATGATCACAACAACTTTCAGTCCTTCTTCGCCGGTCTTATGTTGCTTTTTCGGTGAGTCGAGCAGCTGAACGCAACGATACACGTCCGGGTAAAGCGATAACGACTCGTTCACGAATCGGGGGGACCGCTGCGATCGCGCGAACCTTGAACGGTTTCGTTGATTCGATCGAGAGAGAGAGTAAAAGAGAGAGAGAGAGAGAGAGAGAGAGAGAGAAAGGGAGAGAGTGAAAGAGTAAGAGAGTAAGAGAGAAAGAGGAACGAAACCGAGAGACTGTTTGATGCGATCGATCGGCGGCTTTCGTAGAGGATTTTGGTCTGCTGGCATGAGGTTTAATCGAGAGTATAAAGCTGCTCGACGTGTCTCAGTCTGTTGCGATTGAACCCTGCAGATTAGAACGTCCCCATAGACAGTTGTTCCATAGAGATGCTTGCCCTAGATTGCTGGAGTTGCTGATCCACGGTGTACTCGAGAGAACCGCGATCCCGGTTCGACGTCTGTTGCCTCGCTCACGAGAGCTCGCTCTCGTTTAACCCTTTGCACTACGCTGTCCCCTCTCGTGGGACATCGTAATTCTAGCATATCACTCGGATGTCCCCTCTCGTGGGACATTAAAGTTTATTAGCGATTACGGGGAATTGAGTTATTTCAGCGCAACTTTTTCAGACATGCATGTTTCCCTGAAGTTTTCTCTTGAAATGGCACAAGAAATCGAATCAAAATATAGTAAAATTACTAAGATATATACAAGAAACGTCAGCGGATTTTGACGAGAACGTGAGAGACGTGCTCACGACGGTCCGAGCACTTCGAAGGCGCCATTTGAAAAGAGCGATAAGGCAAGTTTGCAGAAGAAAGATCGGTATGCGAACATAGCACGCACTGTATAGTGAGATTTATAATCATAAAATCTGGAGGATAAGATTTTCAAAGTTGAACTCGGTCTGGTTCGAAGCGTCGTGCGGTATAGATAGATCTAACGAGTGAGAAAATCGGAAAAGTGATTCTTCTCTTGGTAAATAAATTGTTTGGTAAAAGTTTTTTCGGTAAATATCATCTTGCGAGTTAGTAATAACAATTAGAAATTTTCAACCCATGTATTTATTCATATTTTTTATTAGAACAATGGCAAAACGTTCAGACACGAACGAGTCTCATGACACAAGTAGTAGCGAAGATGAGCTCCAGATAGACGTTTGTACAGATATGTTAGAAAGACTAACTGTAGAAGAAAACCTTCTACAGTTAGTCTATCGTTTTGATAGCAGTGACAGTGATATCGTCCAAGCAACAAGGCGACGAGAGAATGAGTTCGCATAGACAGCGATTACAACAACGAAACAAAATTATAAAAAATAAAATATTGATTTTTTTGCAAATTTCTCGATTTCAGCCAAATTCATATAAGTCCAATATCATTATAATATGTTAGTTAGTTCCAAAAGCATACTAAATAATACGAGGGTCTGAAAATGCCCGTTTCTGCCGAAAAGTGGCGCTGAGTAGCTGGTAGCCGACGTCCAGAATGGTTCGGAGTGCTAAGGGTTAAATTCGTTACAAGTTCGCGGAGATCGATACGGTCGAAAGGATCTCTCGAGGAAGCCGCGTGTTGATTTTACAGTCGAAAGAGTAAGGAAACAGTTTTTGTAGATCGTAATTTAATGTGTGTATGCGTATCTTCTTAGAGGGTAGACCCGACAGACACTATCACAAACGCGTACACGCCCGATGGTATCTTTTTGAACTTGTTAACACGGATAATAAACACGTGGGCGAGACACGGGAATCGTGTCGCGAATCACGGGGGACGATTTCCGCGTGGAACGAAATCTTTCTAATTAAAAACCGATCGCGTCCAGATCTGATGGGATCATGCTAATGCGGTGCGTGCCCTGTGGCCGCGCGGCCCTTTTCTTTCTGTTGTTCTCGGTCCCTCAGGTATTCGGTAACATCGCGCTGGACCCCGAGACTTCTATAACCAAGCACAACAATTTCCAAAGCTTCATTCAAGGTCTGATGTTGCTTTTTCGGTAAGTAACGCAACACGCAAACACGCTCTAATCGGCCAGCTACCGATCGCAAGAAACGCGCGGCCGCGCTCCGTTGTGTTTTCTTCCGCGTTTCTTTTTTACGATTCTCTATTGTTCGCGCGTCGCCTGGCGTGCGCCAGGCCTCTATGTGCCGTATGCCGCGGACGACGCGAATCGAATCGAATCGAATAAAAAAAAATAGCACAGCTTCGCCGCAACAATAGCACTCGCGACATCGCGCATAACCGTTCGAGATTCCATGCGGAGAGACGAACGAAGAGAGAACCGATCCTCGGGATCCTTCCGAATACACGAACGGCGAACGGGCTAAGCTACGCCTCGCCCAGACACACGCAGTAGTGTAATTAGCAGCGAGTAGAATAACGGTCGAAGTCTTGCTCAGCCAGTAATTAAAGCGCTTTTGATGTTCTGCACCCGGGTGAACGCCGGGAATCGGCCTCCCTGCATGATGCACCAAACGAGGCTGATTTCGGTAGCCGGTTCCGTTCGACCGTTGGAACAACGCTCGTTAAACCAGGCTCGTTATAACGTTTGCGTTTCACACTCGAAAGGGTAACGAGCCCGTAGTGGTACATAAGCGCGAAGTATCTCATAGAAGCTCTGGCTGTCGTGCTTCTGTTCAGAAATCTGCATGAGGCGCGCCGGCGATTCTCAAAGGTCCGTCGATCCGAACTTCGGAACCGCGAATCAGCTGGCATAATCGAAGCTCGGGTATGTTTCCGAATAGATTGTTCTCTTTGGAAACTATCTTTCTCAACGTTTCATCCACCTGGAAGCCTGTCGATAGATCGCTCGAATTACGGTAATGTCTCTCTAATTGACGCTCAGATTGTCCACAAAAAACGGGCAATTTTGGAAGAGGAGATACGATTAGTTCGAGCCTCGTGGCTCGCTTTTTATGGTTATCGATCGTCAACAGCTATAAAAGCGAGTTGCAAGGCTCGAGAAATCGTCCATTTTTCTGCACAATTTCGGCGACAATTGAGCCGTTTATTTTGAAAGTGGCATAAGTCACTTCTAAGTGACTTAAGTCGATATATTTAAGGGTTTGCGTTTTAACAAGTTTATAAAAAATGGATGCTAACTTTCGAGAAGATTCACTTGTATTTGTTATCTCAGGATACTGATATTTTCCTCACCATAAATAATTTCGTATAAACATTAAAAAATCACCACTTTTCATTACGGCAAAGTGACCTATGCCGCTTTCAAAATAAACGGCTCAATTAGGGAGACATTCCTGTATCGCGCTACGCGAAGAGAAATCCGAACGCGATGTTGGTGCACCGTTCTCGTCCGTAAAACACGGGCCTTCGGATATCAGGAAGTCGTCGTCGCTGGATGACCGTGTCATCGTCGTAATCGTCGTAACGAGACGTTGTCGAAAAGATCCGATCCGAGTAGAAACGATCGCGAGCAAAGGGAAGAACAGACTTTGGGAATCGCCGGGCGCGCCGAGTATCCGTAGCCGATTCGTTTGGACGAATTCGGAGGCTGTCTGACCGTCTGCGTAAGAGAGCGTGCGCCGATAAGGGGAAAGACAATGCGGAGGAATGACCTGTCGACCTTATCAGGTGCGCCACCGGCGAGGCCTGGCCGAACATCATGCTGTCGTGCATCAAAGGCCGGCCGTGCGACGTGAAGGCCGGGAAACAGGAGATGGGCGGCTGCGGCTCGAACATCGCGTACGCCTACTTCGTCTCGTTCATCTTCTTCTGTTCGTTCCTGATGCTGAATCTGTTCGTGGCCGTCATCATGGACAACTTCGACTACCTGACCAGGGACTCGTCGATCCTCGGCGCGCATCATCTCGACGAGTTCGTCAGGATCTGGGCGGAGTACGATCCGAGCGCGACCGGCCGGATCCATTACACCGAGATGTACGACATGCTGAAGAACATGGACCCGCCGTTGGGGTTTGGCAACAAGTGCCCGAACCGGCTCGCTTACAAGAAGCTGATCAGAATGAACATGCCGGTGGACGACGACGGCAAGGTCAAGTTCACTACGACGCTGTTCGCGCTGATCCGCGAGAATCTCAGCATCAAGATGAGACGAGGTACGCTCGAACGATCGATGAACTTATCGGAAAGATTACAGCCTTTAATCCTTTCGCTACGGCGGGCCTCGCCGCGGAGTCCCTCGTGTAGAACGGAGCACCCTGCCGAAAGCAGGAACATTAACCCTTTCGCTACTACGGACCACTATAGTGGCTTTCCATTTGGTGCCACTGAGGTACTACGGACCACTATAGTGGCTTTCCATTTGGTGCCACTGAGGTACTACGGACCACTATAGTGGCTTTCCATAAGATGCATTATATTGCATAATGTTATTTCCTCTCATACTGTAAATTAAAGAGCGCATGCTAAGACGTTATAAAATACCCTGGAATACCCTTTATTTATAAATACCCTTTGGAGAAAAATTTTTTCGTTCGAAAAATTCATTCAATTCAAACAGCTTAGGTTCTCCGCCGACCGCCGCGGAGTACCGACTTCCGCTGACGAGCGCAGCGCTCTGTTCAGCAGAAGTACCGCGACGGAGAATCCGCCCGTAGCGAAAGGGTTAAGCGCGCGCAGTCTTCAGCATTCGGGGCGAAGTCTTTTGCTTCGAAAACGTTGGATCAATATGACCAGATTTATTACAATTCATCGCAGTTTTTGGTAGATGATAGCGTCTGCGAACAGAGGAAAGCGAGACGATAGCCCTTGTTTTAACTTTTGGCTCCATTGTTGTGACCGGTGACTATAGTCACCCGTCGTGTATAGCTGGCATCTTGTGGCAAGAGACTATAGTCACCCATCGTATGTGGGTGTCGTTTTGTGGCGGGTGACTATAGTCACCCGTAGTAGCGAAAGGGTTAAAATGTAGAGTAACATTTTTCAGATCGGATCGAATGGCTCGATTTCGTTTCCGGATGATAGAGCGACTGGTTCGGTAGACGATGACTGAACGATGCTTTTCGAAAATTGCGATCGCTTGGAACGGCGGACGAAACGCACGATTTTTGATATTTAACATGGAACGGTGCGATGTAGAGTAAATTCGTCCTAATTAACGCTTAATTTGTGCAGGAAAGTGGACAATTTGGGAAGAGGAGATAAGATTGATCGAGCCTCGCGGCTCGTTTTTATAGCTTGACAATCGGTGACTATAGAAATGAGCCGCAAAGTTCGAATAATCGTAGCTCCTCTTCTGGAATTAAGCGCCAATTAGGAAGAATTTACTGTAATTTACTGACTGAGAGTCTTGACTCCCGTCAAGACAGCTTGCTGCAGGCATTAAAAAGATGTCAAAATGTCCAGTTTCTTTTCATTACCGGTCAAAGTTGTACCTCGCGACAATGTGAACCGATTTCGATTGATTTTTCAGCGTGCATATAAATCGCTGAGCTCGGATAAAAAAGTTAAAAAAAATCGTGAGCTTTTGATTTTCTTCCTCACTCCAACTAATCGCAATTTTTCAAAAGAATTTTCTAACCGTTGTCTCGTAAACTAGTCTCTCTGACGTCTCATCAAGGATTCACGTTCTTTGATGCAACTTAAAAAAAGAGTTATTCCGTTCCAATCTCAGATTTAGAAATTACATGTTCTGACTTGTTCGAACTCGATTCGATCATGATTTTTAGCACGCAGGAGGACTAAAGAAGCAATTGTTAGAGTTTTACCCGTTTTAGCGTCGTTTGCTCTCAGATCGAATTATTTATAACAAATATTAAAACCCTTGAAACCCTGTTTTAAGAGCAGAGAAGTCCGCCGGATAGATAAGAAAATCGTTAATAATAACAGATATAATGGACACAACTATTACTATACTCACATTACTATACTCACTATACTCACGGGTACTTCTAACGCTCGAATCAATTTCGCATCTCCAGTTTCGGTTTTTCTCGCTGAACCGCTTCGAAGTTGTCAGATTTGAAGTCCGCCGGATAGATAAGATAATCGTTAATAATAACAGATATAATGGACACAAGTATTGAGAAACAATACTCACGGGTACCTCTAACACTCGAATCAATTTCGCATCTCCAGTTTCGGTTTTCCTCGCTGTACCGCTTCGAAGTCGTCGGATTTGTCGAGGCGTTTTTTTCTTCGGCAACGAACGCGTCGAATAACAACGCCTGACGAGACCATTGTTTTACAGCCGACGAGATGAATCAAGCGAACGAGGAGCTAAGGGACACGATCAGAAGTATCTGGCCGCTGCAGGCGAAAAAGATATTGGACCTTTTGATACCTAGGAATGAAGGTAAACGAGAGTCCCTTACCGTTGATAGATCCGATCCGAGGACTATGCTAACGATCGATCCGTTTTCCAGAATTAGGCAGAGACAAGCTGACCGTTGGTAAGATATACGTCTGCCTTCTGATACTCGAAAGTTGGAGGACGACCAAGTTTGGTCAGATAGTATCGACCGGACAGGTGAGTGTCCCGACAGTTCTTATTTCCGGGTGTGTCTCGAGTCGTGCGAAACGCGAAGACATTAGCGATATGTCCCTTATTCAGGCGAGCGGAACCTTCCGCGCTCCCACGGCTCGTCCCCCGACTCCGCTAACTTTTCTCGCTAATTCCGTTGCTGTTCCGTTGTACTCGAAGAGTCCGTTTCTCGAGGATCGTCGCTCGAACGATCGATGGAGCGAACGGGAGCCCGTGGGAGCCAGCCGAGGGCGAAGCTCGAATGGATGTTTGTCGTCCGCTTACTTCGTGATAGGATTTCACATGGCCGATGTGAAACTCTCGAATAGAACATCTCCAACTACTCCAGAGTAGCTTCTTGACATACCCTAAGCTTAGCATCGCGGACCACCGATGGCTCTCGAATCCTCGATTCGATCGCCATCGAACCTTTGCCCAACAATTTTTGGCTCGACCGAAATATTCTACGGTTTCCTGGACTCCCCGTGAAGTCATTTCGACTTCGAATGTTCGTCGTGTTATGGGACAAACGCGGAGAAAAATGTTGCGATTGCCATCGAAATACAGTAATGTCTCCCTAATTGACGCGAGGATTGTGCAGAAAAATGGACAATTTGAGGAGAAAGAGACACGATTATGCGAGCCTTGGGGCTCGTTTTTATAGTCGTTGACAATTCGTAACTATAAAAATGATCCGCGAGGATCGAATGATCGTATCTCCTCTTCCCAAATTGTCCACTCTTCTGGACAATCTGAGCGTCAATTAGAGAGACATTACTGTATTTCGATGGCAATCGCAACATTTTTCTCCGCGTTTGTCCCATAACACGACGAACATTTAATTATTACTTCGAAAATCGCATTCCGACCATCTTATCGTTTTGGAAGAGGAGACACGATTGTCCGAGCCTCGCGGCTCGTTTCCACGGTCCTTCGACGATCGTTAACTATGAAAACGAGCCGCGAGGCTCGATCAATCGCAGCTCCTCTTCCAAAATCGGCGATCTCCGCTCGCAAGCCGCGGGACAATTGTAGAGAATTCCCAAGTACAGTGATGTCTCCCTAACTGACGCTCAGATTCTGCACGAAAATGGACAATTTGGGAAGTGGAGATACGATTATTCGGGCCTTGCGGTTCATTTTTATAGTCACGAATTGTCAACAACTATAAAAACGAGTTGCAAGGCTCGAGTAATCGTATCTCTTATTCCCAAATTGTCCATTTCTGTGCACAAAATCTAAGCGTCAGTAAGGGAGACATTACTGTACAGTAATGTCTCCCTTACTGACGCTCAGAGATACGATTATTCGAGCCTTGCGGCTCGTTTTTATAATTCTTGAAAATCGGCAACTATAAACAACGAGTCGCAAGGCTCGAATAATTATATCTCCTCCTCCCAAATTGTCTATTTCTGTGGACAATCCGAGCGTCAATTAGAGAGACATTACTGTAATCGCGGATAAGCGAAGAAGCTCTTACGAAAGAGGAATCTTTCATTAATCCGAGAGACGCCGAAAAGTTATTTAAACAAAAACGGAGACCGTCTCTTGTCCAACGCGAAAACCGCAGAGCATTTCGAACGACCCGATATCAGGTCCAGACGAAGGAAACTCGAGTCCCCATTGATGAAACGTGTCCAGCGATTCTAAGCTACTCTCCCGATTCCCAAAACGTTCTGACGCTGTATTTGACTGTGTGCTCAGTAGTGCCAAGAATTTTCGCGGATGTACTCGAACGAATACAGAGAGCATCGAGGTCGCGACCGTTCGCCCGACGACCTCGTCCGATCCGCCTCGATCGTTTTCGATCCGACGGAATCGAACGAGTCGTCGATGGGACGCGACGGTTTCGACCGATCTCGCGATTAGACGTTCGTTCGGTTTCGAACGGAGGAAGAAGATATATCTCTGTCGAATTAGCCAGACTCAATATGTGTAGAAAAGCAGTTCGATGTGTCACCCCTCCTTTGAACGTCACGATGCAGATTTTTTGGTGCAACTGATCGATCTGTACACCGGAACGGCTCGATCCCGATTCGTAGAGAATTCGTATCGTCCTGTTGAGACATTCGAAAAAGATATCGAAACGGAATAATGGATCTAATCTCGACGACGAGGAGCCAAATTCGTTTTATCCGGTGAACAGGTCGACGTAGATTGTGTTTTTCTTTTCGGTCGATACATCGTCTGCTCTTGCCTCTCTGTGTGTGTCTCTCTCTCTTTCTCTCACTCTCTCTTTTCTCTCAGAAGAGAAGAGAGAATTTTTGAGAATTTTTGTTAGCCTGGAATAGATCTCGATCTTGAAGCAGACGATAGATCGACGCGAGTTACGAATCCACTATTCTCTAGTGACTTAGGACGATACATGGTTACTTTGAATGAGTTTACGATATTAGATCATTAGAGGAGAATCTGTGTATTGAATTGATTTACGTGTTTACCCAGTTTAAAGAGTCATAGAAAATCAGTATTATTATATTACATTTATCTATATATATATATATTATATTATAACAGTTTGAGTTTTGAGCCTCAAATCTGAGCGAGTTTGAACCTATCGATTAATTGAGATATAGAGATATATTACGTTCACTGTTTATTGTTACTGTCATTGTTATCATTATTGTGACATTAGTGTAGGAGTAATTTAAATACGATTATTATTATTATTATTATTATTATTATTACTATTACTACTATTATCAGTTGCGTTACGTCTTATGATTTCTTGTTTATTGATTATTAATATTGACCACAGACTAGGTTTATGTAATTGTTATACCCAGACAAGAGGATGTTCACGCAGCTCTCAATCATCTCTTTGTGTCTTTTCTCTTTGTTTTCCAGAACGATAACGATCTTATCGATAACGATAATGCTGGGCAAAGTCCTGCAGCCCAGGCGGTAGTACTTAAACTTTTCTCTTACTTATTATCATCTTATACACACGTTTTCCTTTCTCGTTTCTCCGTTCGTTTTACTTTCCACAAGTCTCGCCCGTTTTTTCTTTCTCACACACGTTTTTAATTCGCCCTGGGGACCGACCGATCGCCGCGGAGAGCATCTTTCACTCTCTCTCTCTCTCTCTCTCATTCTTTCTCTCTCTCTCATTCGTTCTCCCTCTTTCTCTCTCTCTCTCTCTCTCATTCTTTCTCTCTCTCTCTCATTCTTTCTCTCTCTCTCTCATTCGTTCTCCCTCTTTCTCTCTCTCTCTCTCTCTCTCTCATTCTTTCTCTCTCTCTCATTCGTTCTCCCTCTTTCTCTCTCTCTGTCTCTCTTTCTCTCATTTTCTCTCTCTCGAAACGAAGGCAACAGAATCGAGCGCAACAGTCTGCTGCTGAATCGACTGCAGTCACGCTGCGATCGATCGATCCCCCATTGTACATAAAAGACCGTCTTCACATTAATTTCACCGATAACCGACTCCGATCGCCAACTCGCGCAGAGACACAGAAGCCTACCATCGATCTCGTTTCTGTACATAATCGCGCGAAATTGTATTTAGACCGGTCGATCCGCCAAGATCGGCCGACTCTTGTGTACATAACTCCGTATCCGTAGAGTCTTTATCAATTATCTCGAGCGNTCTCTCTCTCTCTCTCTCATTCTTTCTCTCTCTCTCTCATTCTTTCTCTCTCTCTCTCATTCTTTCTCTCTCTCTCTCATTCGTTCTCCCTCTTTCTCTCTCTCTCTCTCTCTCTCTCATTCTTTCTCTCTCTCTCTCATTCTTTCTCTCTCTCTCTCATTCTTTCTCTCTCTCTCTCATTCGTTCTCCCTCTTTCTCTCTCTCTCTCTCTCTCTCTCATTCTTTCTCTCTCTCTCATTCGTTCTCCCTCTTTCTCTCTCTCTGTCTCTCTTTCTCTCATTTTCTCTCTCTCGAAACGAAGGCAACAGAATCGAGCGCAACAGTCTGCTGCTGAATCGACTGCAGTCACGCTGCGATCGATCGATCCCCCATTGTACATAAAAGACCGTCTTCACATTAATTTCACCGATAACCGACTCCGATCGCCAACTCGCGCAGAGACACAGAAGCCTACCATCGATCTCGTTTCTGTACATAATCGCGCGAAATTGTATTTAGACCGGTCGATCCGCCAAGATCGGCCGACTCTTGTGTACATAACTCCGTATCCGTAGAGTCTTTATCAATTATCTCGAGCGAATTAGAAACCGGCGGTTGTATCTCTGCCCTTGTACTTATTCTTCTCCGGTCTTGTACAATTCTGTTTTGACTATGCATCGACACCAACGTCGCACACCAACGATCCACGACACCAACGTTCACACGATCAAAACATCTTCTTTGGTATTACGTTTACCTCTCGCATCGTAGACATTGTATCTGTTCGTTTCTCACCTTCTTTCACACCCCCCCCCCCTTCAACCTGTTAACCGGGCGACGTCACGCTATCGAGATTTCTTTTTGCCCGCGATTCTTTGTCGAATAAACAATCGCGCGGAGATGTAAAAACCTTTCGTTCTTGCTTCCGCGATGCACCGATTGTCCCCGTGGACGTGCGAACTCTTGGCCTAATCGAATCATAATCGAAACTTATTGCCAGTGTTTTCTTTTATATATATATATATATAAATTACTATAAATAATGTATATATATATAATAAATTACTATATTACTCGTTATAACATATAACGAGAAATAGAGAGCGACGAGATAACAGATTTCTTTTTGCCCGCGATTCTTTGTCGAATAAAAAAGGAAATCAGCGATTCTTTAATCGAATAAACAATCGCGCGGACATGTAAAAACCTTTCGTTCTTGTTTCCGCGATGCACCGATTGTCCCCGTGGACGTGCAAACTCTTGGCCTAATCGAATCCTAATCGAACTTACTGCCAGTGTTTTCATTTTTTATATATATATATAATTACTATAAATAATGTATATATATAATAAATTACTATATTACTCGTTATAACATATAACAAGAAATAGAGAGCGACGAGTTAACAGATTCGTCGTGCCCGGTTAACAGATTCACCGTCGCCGGACGCAACCGCGGCCGCAGCGGTCAGCCGACTGGTTAAAGAAATTTATCGATGGTAAATAAACAAAGAAAGAACGATCTTCCGCGCCGGAAGAGAAGAACGACGACGACAGCCACGGTTGCGTCCGCGAGAACGAACTCGCCGGTCACCCAAGACACGGTCTCACACACGCTCGAACTTTTTTCTTCTTTCCTTTAGGCACTTGGCGTATTACAGAAAGTACTTTATTATACTAGAGCATCCGTCGGTCTCACACGACACCATAGAGCTCTTTAGAAACTTTTTTAGTCTTCCCCCCGCCCCCCTTACAAAGAACCTCCTTTCTCTAACAGCACGTTTTTCCTTCTTCAGATAATAAGCAAATTAGTCTAGGATTAATATACTTGAACTACTTAGTTGAGCCGCGCGGGGCCCCGGTGTTCCGCGATCGATTCGCGATCGATTCGATAGATGATCCACTGCGATCCGCAGGATCCGTTTGCCGTGTGGAGAAAAGAGAAATGAGAAAAAGGAGGCGCGGAACGCCGGGACCGCGTCTGGAACATTTTAGTGGTCGTGTCGGTGTCGCGTGGGCGTGGTGTCGCACGTGGCATCGCCCACGTGGATCGGCTCTTTGTCCCCGAGAACACGATCTATAGCTGCGTGCAAGTAAGTTTTACCTAGCCTAGATCGAACCTCGTAGAACGATCTAGCTCGGAGATGATCGACACCGGAGTAATAACACCGATCCTCGAACGTAGCTCGCCTTTTGCCTCGAGTGTGTCGCTCCTCCGTGTTTAAATTAGCGCCACGGTCTAGCCGTTTCCATAGCGAACTTCTCGTTTTTTCACTATTTAGATCGAGCCCGTCTATCTTTAGCTCTCTCTCTCTCTCTCTCTCTCTCCCTCTCTCTCTATCTATAGCATAGAATAGTGCCCGACCATAGTCGATCTTAGATCGAGCCAAATCACAGCCGTCCAAAATCTCTCTCTCTATCGATCCCGATCTCGCCACGGAGCAACGTTCTCGTAAACGAAAGCGATTCCGCTAAAACCGTTCTCTCGACCATTTTCTCGCTGTTCATTCTCTTCCGAGTTCTCTCCGCCTTTTCCACCCCGTCTCGTTCCCCGCTCGACTAGAGCTCTCGTAGACACGTAGTCGAGGAACGTCCGGCTCCTCGAAGACGCGCGTTCCTCGAGCTAGATTTCGATCGACGTTCTTTATTATAGTTGTCTTTTTTCTTTACCTCCTTTCCTGTAGTCTCTCTCTCTCTTTTTCTTGCTCTGTGCTCGTTACACCCTTTAAAGGCTCGCCCGCAATCGCCACGTAGATTAGAAACGGGGCTATAGACGATTTTCGAGGCTAGAAGAGCACCGTCTCTCTGTAGACAGGTTTTGCCTTGGCTATTTTACACATAGCTCTCTCTCTCTCTCTCTTTCTCTCTCTGTCTTTCTCTATCTTTCTCTCTCTCTCTGTCTGTCTTTCTCTCTGAACACGATCGCTTCTACTATACAGACACGATTTTCTTTCCACAATTTCCACACGATCGACACAACCCGGTTTCTCAGCGGACACGCAGGACAATCCACACCTCTCGAACACCGAATTTCAACGGCCGCTCGAATTAATTTCACGCCGAGCGGCCCCGACCAGGAAATATCTGTTTATTCTCGAAGCAAAAACAATGCTGTGAACAACCAAATGTTTCTCGCGTCGACTAGGATCGATCCGCGGATCGATTCGCACGGTTGCTCGCGGGGGGTTTTCTTCGTCGAGCGCCAGCGGCTCGTTCCGGAACCGGGATCCGTTCTTCTCGGCGCGGATCAAGCGGAGAATCGGCTTCCGCCGGAAGCTTTTCTCGGACTTGAAGCATCCTGTAGCGCCGCGCTGTCCGAGCTTCGCTCGCGATTAATTGGATGCGATCGGGAGATGAATCGATTCGCTCCAAGTTGGGACTTGGTTTGATTTTTCGGCGGTAGAAAGGGTTGATGAAGCGGCAAGATTTATGAGTTAATTTGTTTGGACGGTTTGTTTTTAATAGTAGACGAAATTGATAAGGTGGCAAGATTTATAAGTCAATTCGTTTCGACAGTTTAATTTCTAGCAGTAGAAAAAAATTAATAAAGCAACGAGACTTATGAGTTAAATTGTTTGGGCAGTTCATTTTCAACAGTAGAAAAAATTAATAAAACAGCGAGAACTATAAGTTAATTTATTTGGACAGTTCATTTTTAATAGTAGAAAAAAATAATAAGGTAGCAAGATTTATAAGTCAATTTGCTTTGACAGTTTATTTTTAGCGGTACAGAAACATTAATAAAACAGCAGGATTTATAAGCTAATTTATTTGGACAGTTTATTTTCAGCAATAGACAAAATTAATAAAATAGCAAGATTTATAAGCTAATTTATTTCGACAGTTTATTTTCAACAGTAGAAAAAATTAATAAAGTAGCAAGATTTATAAGTTAATTTTTTTCGGCATTTCGACGATGCAGACGGAAGCGTTAAAAAAAGTGTCTGCATCTCCTTTGGAACATCGAACATGTTGTTTACGCTAATTGTTTGCCATAAACGCGCGGGGAAGCCGCGGACAGCGCGGAAGTAGCGCGGAAAGTGTTGCAGAACGCTTTTCGCAGATTTGTTGGTATTCAAAGTATTCAGAGTTGCGAGTAATACAGTTGATCGTAGATGAATCGTAGCCAGTAATGCCATGGCGTGCATAGGCATGTCCAGAAAACTAATTGAGAAACGTACACTTGTGGCCGTTTATGTGCGTGTATATACGATATATAAATATCCACGATGTCCCAAAAATCACCCGCGATCGGGAAATAATGGATTCCTGAGGTCATTTCAAGCAACTTTTTCCTTGGCGAAAATCCGATCCGCGGCTCCGTTTACGAGTTATTAACGAAAAACAGTGACCAATAGGCGGCGAGCTCGGCTGGCACGAGGCGGCGCGTAGCGGCCTAGCGGATGAAGCGCAGTTCCGCCAATTGGCTCGGCCGCCCCGCGCCACGCGAGCTCGCCTCTCATTGGTCAGCGTTTTTCGTTAATAACTCGCAAACGAAACCGCGGATCGCATTTTCGCTGAGGAAAAAGTTGCTCGAAATGATCTCAGGAATCCCTCATTGCTCGACTTCGAATGACTTTCGGGACACCCTGTGTACGGCACACGATCGCATATATCATATATACCGAACTCTTAGCTCCTCTGTGTAGCTCTCCCCAGACCCGTCACCGTTTGTTCGTTGTGATTGGCTTGTGTACCACTATGTTTGTCCCAGGGTTTGTTCGCATATGTGTATTGGTACGTTTAGAACGAAGCGTGCGCTGATCGTCGACGTTTCTCTTTCAACGATTTCGCATGGAAATCATTTTGGGGGAGCTGTTGTCGGTTGACAGAAGGGAATGCCGAGGGGTTAGCTTTTTGCTAAAAAAAATAATAGAGGAACGTGGTCGGTTCGCGGACAATGTATATGTTGCATGCTAACTATAACGTTTGCATACTCCCAACAGTGGCGCGAAACGTGCCTCACGAATAAGTGTTTCCGATTGCATACCGTACTTGTACCGCTCGCTCGTATCATTATTATTATTATTAATTATTACTACTACTATATATATGTATATGTATATAAGTCTATATATATACACGAACAGTAACCGAATAATATAAAATCCCAAGGTGTTTGTACATAGGTTACAACACCTTTTGACATACATATACAGGCTTTGCCGCGACGACGAGCAAAAAAAGAAAAAAAAGAAAAAAAAGAAAAGAAATAAAAACGATCGAATATAGTACGAATATGAAAACGATTCGCATCACGATTTCACGTCTCTCTGTTTCTCTGTACATGTATCTCCGCACACAGTACACACAAGTTATCTCAAGATGCGTGCCTGGTCGTGAGCTTTACTTTTAGCCGACACTTTCAAGCGCACCGTCACGATACAATTAATTATTACCTCTTTCTCTCTTTACTCTGTTCTCTTACGGCATGGCCTATACATTTTTTTTTCTTTCTCTTAATCGTCCGTGAAAATTGCCGCAAGACGAGAGGCGTCACTTTTCGCCGCCGTTTCGCTCTCGGGACAACGCTGTCGCGCGTCTCCCACCGATATCCGGAAACTGGTCGCGCAACAGAGGGCAAAAATAAAAAAAAAATATATAAGAAAGAAAAGAAAAAGGTGAAAGAGACGAGGAAAGCCTGTATGTGCCTGTACGATACTCCCCGTTGAATACGAATAAGCATGGATTGGTTCGCTGGATCGAGCGATCGTCGGAACGTCGATCGACCGGATACGGAAACCAATGCCACGTAGCGAACAAAAAGTATATACTGTCGAGAACAATATGATCCGAAACAAAATAAAACAAAAATGAAATAGTAGAACAACGACAATAAAACAAACAAACAAAAAAATATATAACGACAGACCACTGTCGATCAGCTCTGATAGCCGGTGTGGTTTCGCACGTTCGACTTTAGCAATCGGCCTTCCTCAACTGCATTCTGGACGTGACGGCGGTGAATCACACCGGAAATAGTCACGGGACCGGAAGTAGGGCGAACAGCCTCGAGCCGGTGGTTCGGCCGACGCCGGATAGGAAGCTAGACCAACGCAGGGAGCTCCGAGAGGAAGACGATGGGACCCTCGGGGTCCACGCAGCCGCCGAGCACAGGTATCTCTTCATTTTCAGAAACGCTCGTCCCTCCGCGATCTACGGGTGCGGGTTCTGCTGAGAATTTCGTACGGCCTAAGGTTGACAGCAAAGGGTTCACACGGCGCAGGGACTTTGCTTCAATTGATTCGACTGGAGTCAAGGGAATAGCGTTGCTATTAGAATAATTTCTCCGAGAAATGTTCGGAGATCGGAATTGAAGCCGGCAGATCCGAGAATACTGAGTCGCGGATTTGACTTAATTGTTTTATTTCTGATTTTTTGCCACGATTCGGAGACAATTTGGGGGCCACGTGACGCGATTCGAAGGCAATTCGGGGGCCACGTGATGCGATTCAAAGGCAATTCGAGGTTCACGTGATACAATTCGAAGGCAATTCGAAGGCCACTTGACGTGATTTGAAGGCAATTCGTGGCCACGTGACGCGATTTAAAGACAATTCAGAGGCCACGTGACACGATTTAAAGACAATTCGGAGATCGCGTGACGCGATTCGAAGGCAATTCGGAGGCCACGTGACACGATTCGAAGGCAATTCGGAGGCCATATAACACGATTCGACGGTCACGCATCTAATACAGTAAATTCTTGCCAATTTTCCTTCAGCTCGTAAACAAAACTGGACAATTTGCAAAGAGGAAATACGATTATTCGAGTCTCGCAGCTTATTTTTACAGCTACCAATTGTCAATTATAAAAACCGAAGTGCAAGACTCGAATAATTGGCCGACTCCGTCAACCCTTAGCATCGACGTAGCAATAAATTACATAGGCGTGGCCCAGAAAAATTCACAGCAATTTGACATATCCCGTCGGAATGACTGTATCTCGCGAGAGAAGGGAGGGACGAGCGTATCCTGATATCTCCGCGACGGTAGCGGAAGGTGGAGGGAAGCGATGGAGAGGACCGACCGGAGGAGATGGAGCTAATCTGGCCTGCGTTCTGATTTCAGAAATAAAAAGGTGAACTGGAAGATGTCCCACCAGTACGATATACTAGGCAGCAGCGGAGAGAGTAGCCAGGGAGGGGGTGGGTCTGGGGTTGTACCCGTAGTTAATGACGAGGATCGCGCCCCCGAGCTAGAGCCATTGCTGGCTGAGGTGCCCTCCCAGCAGGATCAAAACTACTACTACCACCATCACCATCACGACCAATACTACGATACCGACAAAGATCTATACTATGACCATCACCACCACCACCACCATCACCATCACGTTCACCATCATCATCATGCTCACCGACCACCCTCGTATTATCAACACCAGAATACCTACGCACCTCGCTCCTCGATCCGTTACCACAAGGTCTCTTGGCTCGATTCAATTCAATTAACAACCCTATCGCGAGATTTCGATAGCTCTAACTGAACCTCCCCTCCGCGGTAACCGCGATCGGTTCCGTTAGACAAACGCGTACAGGATCCTTCATGGTAATCTGGCACGATTCTCTTCGACCTTTCGAGACCGTCGGGATTTTTCAAGCTATCCAACGCAGTAACATTCTCTGTCGTCGCCGAGAATACATCTCCGTTGAGATATATGATCCGATGAAATATATAAAAGTCTAGAAATGAACAGTTCTATTGCCAAAAATATATTTCACGTATATTTATTTTATAATTGTATATATATTGTAATACGAATTGTGATACGTTACCGTTGGATAAAATCCATCTCGAAGGATTGAAGGGGCGATTTTGTAAGGCGGATTTTTGCAAACCGACGAGGAAGATCTCGATTAGACGCAACAACCGTCTCCGTAGCGCAGCGATCTAGTCAACGAAATACGCAAATCTATCGAAGAAATAATCATCTCAGAAACATGCTTAACATCCCGAAATCATTTCCAAACTGTCTGGCGCTCGCTGCTCGAGCGAATCGAGACTTCTGCGAATTAACGAAGCAACGATCAACGTTTTGACAGTCCGTTCCGTCGGTTCAGACTGCAGCATCTGCTCCAAGAATCGTCCCACGAACCATGGAGCATCCTGTAGACTAGCCTGAGCGATCGACCGTCGATCGCCAGCGATAGATCGCGCGGATCGTAGACCGCGCGTTCCGTTAGATCGGTAGATCGCGCGACGATCGGACGTCGGGAGTCGCGGATTAGAGTCTGAATGCGCCGGCAAGCTTCTTCTTAGATCTAGAACGATGGTGCCGCGCCGATTATTATAGATCGAAGATCGGAGGATGCGTCGCGGAACGGAAGCCATCTTTCTCTTAGCTCGGCGAGACACAACGGCATTTTAGATGAAACAATTAGCTTTTGGACACGACACTCCTCGGTAGACGGAGCTTTGCGTTCTCCACACACACAGACACGTACACAGTTCATGCGTTTCTCGATCGGCTGCTCTGTTTCTGTACACTACTCACACGCCACTAGATCATTTAGGGTAGACTTAGATCTATAGATCCGGGCTCGGGACATTAGAGACACGACTGCCGATAACGCGGCCGATCGATCGGGGACACCGGGACCGCGCGCGATAGAATAGGATCGGGATCGACTCGTTGTTGTCGTTATTAAATAACGAAACAACTGGACAATCTGTTTTTAAGCGTTCTGTTTCGCGACCGAACGAATCCGTTCGATTTTAGCTTCTTGCGCTGGGACTCGCGCGCGCCCCAAGAAAATATATAGATAATGAAACCAGTTGGAATATACAAAATGTCTCGTTGCATCGCGCATTTTGCATCGTGTCGAAGTTTATCGTACCGATTAGAATTGACAGCGGAGATTTTTTATAATTAATAATATTTTTTATAATCTCGTGAATAATTGTTTTAGAAGAATTCGTCGCAGGCATCCGACGATAAATCTTTAGCGCAAGAGGTTGAAGGTCGAACGAGAAACGTTAAGTTGTCTCTGTTTATTGAAGGAAGGGACTTTTGGAACAAGCTAATACTTAGCCAATGTAATATAGTGTTAATATTAATATTAATTTAACACTGGAACTACCGAAACGGTCCAAATGACCGGTTCCCGATCTTTTTTCCTTTCAAGATTTCTGATGTTATAGAACTGTTCTTGTCGGAAATGTTTCGACCAAATTCTTTATTCAATAATAATATTCATAATAATTCAACAGTTCATCCGATCTTGTCATTTTTATAAAGTGACATACGTTATGTTCAGGGTTCGGCAGTTCTAGCGTTAAATACTGGGCTAACACGTTGATCGTCCCCTCGACGACCACAAAAACTTGATAAAGTCAAAGTACAGTAATGTCTCTCTAATTGACGCCCAGATCGCGCACAAAAATGGACAATATGGGAAGAGGAGATACGATTATTCGAGCCTTGCGGTTTATTGTTATAGTTATAAATTGTCCACAATTATAAAAACGAGCCGCAAGGCTCGGAATAATCGTGTCTTCTCTTCCCAAATTATCCATTTTAGTGAACAATCTGAGCGTCAGTAAGGGAGACTAAGGTCAGTAAGGAAGATATAATATATTATTGTATCTCCTCTTCCCAAATTGCTCATTTTTGTGCGCAATCCGAGCGCGAATTAGGGAGAACGGTATATAAATTGTATAGAAAATATACAGTAATGTCTCTCTAATTGACGCCCAGATCGCGCACAAAAATGGACAATTTGGGAAGAGGAGATACGATTGTTCGAGCCTTGCGGTTTATTTTTAGAGTTATAAATTGTCCACGATTATAAAAACGAGTCGCAAGGCTCGGAATAATCGTGTCTCCTCTTCCCAAATTATCCATTTTAGTGGACAATCTGAGCGTCAGTAAGGGAGACATTACTGTAATTCGTTCAATCGGATGGAAACTGAGATTTACGACACCAATTACTCTTTCAACCCTCTTGCATTTCGTAGACAGCAAGAGATGTACCGTTGAACCGATGCAAAACGGTTGAAGAAACGTAAAAATTCGCTTTTTCAGTTTCAACAAATAATTCTGTCACCCAAACAAACGTGCCTGATATGACAGTCAACGTGTTACATACCAAAAGAACAATCAATCTCATTAGCTTCTTAAGCCCGCTATTGTATCCTGGGTCTTCGACGACCTTTGCGAGATAATAACTGCAAAGATAATTTCAAAGATAATTGCAAACTACTTCTATCGATCAGTTTCACTAAATTATAAAATCTCTCAGAAAGATCTCTCTGTCCGAAGAAACAGGGTACACCGAGGCAGCTTTGAATTCTCGATCATTTTCTGGAAAAGTTTGATGAAACAGTGGAGCCTCGATTATCCGAACTTTCGACGTTAAATAAATTCTGCCAATCTCGCGTCTCGCGTATAAACGGATAAATTTCAGACCACGCGTCGTCGTATAAATCGGCGAATCGGTTTGTTGCGGCGCCGCAAACTACGTTCGCCGCGGGTTCGCATAATCGACGACGCCGCTTCTGTAGAATGAATCCGGCCCCGGTATCTCGACAGGTTCCAAGCGAGTCGATCTCGATCGCCGAGCGGATAGAGTGTATCTGTAAATACAAGAGATTCTAGAACCGATCTTGCCTAGCGAGCCACCTAGATGAACACCCCCCAAACCCCCACCACCCCGTCACCACCTCATGACCTCCATACTTGAGAATCTCTGACCGTTTAGTATTGTTCGACGTCGGTAAAATTAGAGCAACCCCACCCTTGTCCCTAGCTGCTTTCACAGCCTTGAGAATAATGTTCTCGAGAGGAGCGAGGCATCCGCGCGGCGGTCACCCGTGGGCCGCCCCAGCGCCGCGAATGCCTCGTTCACCGTGTCTCTCGTTGTTTGTCGTGAATTCTATATTGTATGTCCGCATAATCCCGGTAAGTAACGGTCGGGAGCCAGCCAATGGCTGGACCGAGTCTCCGAGCTGGAAAGGTAGCGAGAGAAAAAACCAAAAAAAAAGAACCATCCCCCGTCCGAGAAACGAACGGCTCCGCACCCACTCTGTGCGTGTGTGCGCGACTGTCTTCTGTTTCGCCCCTCCCCCCGCCCAGAAGCCACCCCTGTCGAACAGACTGTGAAAAGCAACCAGAACCCGAAACAACGAGACTACTCGGCGGAGTGCATGTGCATGCCCGAGAGGAGAAACTCTTCTTTTGAACTGCATGACTGTTCTGAACACGCGCGCACATGTGCTTGTATACCGTCTATACTCTGCTCAAGTTTTCGCTGATTGTTATTCCCGTTCTTGCCGCGATACTTCACTGTCGCTCGTCGAGCAAACGAATACCCACTTAGCACGATGCTGCGGCCGACCTTCGCGCCCTGCCGACCCTTCGATCATCCGGAGATCTATTTGGAAAAACGACCTTCGATCCTCGTCCAAGATACGCGTTTCATCGAAAGGAAGCTCGACGCTTCGCAACGAAATTCTCCGAACTGTCCGAGGGTTTCGATCTTAGAAGGACGAGAGATCGTCGAACCGGCACGACGATCGAACCGGACAAAGGGTCTATCAACCTTGACATAACCGAACGAAGGGTTCCAGGGCGCGGAGGTCGGCCGGCACCGGAGGCAAAAGGCGTCTCGATTCGAGAAAGATGATTCGTGTGCGCGAGGCGGAAAATCGTTAGTACCCAAGACAAAGAACCGGCTCTGAACACCCCGACTCTCCTTGAATTCCTGACATCAGCATCGTCCGCACGGTACGGTATCCCCTAATCGACGAGTCTGTTCGTTTAGATGGAGCTTCAGGACGTCGTGGTTAGCGACTCGCGAGCCGGTAGTCTCGAGAGTCTCACCCACGCCGCAGAGAGACTTCATCCGCCTGTCCATCCAACCAAGCACCCGTTGCGCTCGCCCAGCTTAAGGTACCGTCGTTCGCGCGCACCCTGTGCAGTCCTGACGTGAAACTGATACACGGACCGTTTCCCGTTTTGTTTTTGGTTGAAGGCACTCGCCGGTGATGCCCGGCTCGCAGTCGCCCCGCCGAATGAGGAACGATCATCACGCTTACTATCGCCACGAGGGACCCGGGTTCAGCGACACGGTCAGCAACTTGGTCGAGATGCAACGGCACACCCATCATCCCCAGTCACATTACAACCATCGGCCCCGGAAGCGAGGTACAAGACAGAAATGATGGCCGGACGGGAACACGGTGCAATGATACGAGTTCTTTTTACGAGCGGGTTCGGGCCGCGAATCTCCTCTCGGCTGGATCCTCTCGGCGATCGTCGGCCGTCGAACTGTCGCGCCGATCTTCGCGCGATCTGCTTTCGTCGTTCGATCGTTCGATTCTATGAATTATGATTCTGTAATTTGAGATATATTGCGGATCGAGTTTGTTCTCGTGATCTTTCGGTGTGCTCGTTCCGACGTGGGAAAATCGGAATTCGAGAGACAAAGCGAGCGGTTCTCGCTTATCTCGATTCGGAGAACGGAGAATTCGGAATTCGGGGAACAGTTTCAGATTCTATTTTTATCTTTATCTTTTTTGCGACGGCTGAACGTTGATTTCTCGTCGGCTTCTCCCACGTCGAACGAACAAACGAATCTCGCAATCGGCTGGCGGAAGAGGAGGCTCGCAGGCTCGCGATCCGAATTGGAATTACGAATGCCGCTATAAATGGTGTTACTCGCAAGAGGCAGAGGCTCTGTGTCACTCGATGTAATACGTTTCTTCGTTTTGTTCTGTTATGCGCCTACAAAGACTATTACGACCACTGCGACTATTACGACGATGGTAATTTCTTTGGCAACTCCGTTTGAATTCCCTGTTCCGAAGCAATTTTCTTATTACTTGTACTTCATACTACGATCGTTTGGCTTTCTCTCTCTCTCTCTCTCTCTCTCTCTCTATTTTATTATTTTGTTTATCACATTTCTCTCTCTCTCACACACACACATATACAGTCACACGATCACCACGCAAGAATAGAGTCTTGTTTGCTCCACGCATTCGAGCAATGCACACGGACACAAGCACAAACACACGCACACACAGACATCTATACGCAATAATGAAGACGGGGCCAGCAGTTAGTCGAACGACGCTTCTTCTGATTTTGTTTAAAAATCTTTCTGATCTGTACGAACGCCACCGTGCACGGGATAGTAGACGGTCACACAGAGACACATACAAACACACGCACACGCACACAGGCTTCCAACAGCGCACCAGCACACTGGGCACACACACACACACCGACACGTAGGCGAATGCGTATCTCTTTGTCTCTCTTTCTCTCCCAGGACCCGTAGAATAGACGATCTAGCGTAGAAAGGACACTGCAACCATCTTAGAGAGTGCACGACCCCTGCAACAAGCCGCGCTCGTTCCGTTCCGTTCCGGTCGTAAACGAAAGCAAAGAAAGCAAACAAAGTGCAACACGTCGGTACGCGTCGCCAGAGATCCAATTTAGCGAAGTGGCATGTGGCTCGTTTGGTGCACCGATTGTCGGATCTCCCGGCGGCGACTTAGAAGCGTCCCAGCATGATCGAACCCCCTCATGGATCGAACCCCCGATAAATGCACAGTAACCCCTGCACTATTACCAGGACGGTCGACCCGACCGCTCTCGCCCAGAGACTCTACGATCTTTTGGTACTCCGATCAGCTAGGGTGATACGTAAAGAGCTAGTTTACTTAGACACCAACGACGATCGACGCTCTCTAGCTAGCGATCATCGAAACCCTTTTCTCCACCCCTCCGACTTCCCGTCGAATGGCGCTCGGCATCCCGTTTCTCGAACCGCAGACATAGCGTCCAACCCGTAGGGCCACAGTTTAGGCTAGACTGCGGCCGCTAGAGCCTGATTTAGGAGCCGCGTAACCCTGTCTCTTATACACACCGAGATGTGTATAAGAGACAGAGCCTAAACCGTGGCCCTACGGGCTGTCTCTTATACACACCGAGATGTGTATAAGAGACAGAGCCTAAACCGTGGCCCTACGGGCTGTCTCTTATACACACCGAGATGTGTATAAGAGACAGAGCCTAAACCGTGGCCCTACGGGCTGTCTCTTATACACACCGAGATGTGTATAAGAGACAGAGCCTAAACCGTGGCCCTACGGGCTGTCTCTTATACACACCGAGATGTGTATAAGAGACAGAGCCTAAACCGTGGCCCTACGGGCTGTCTCTTATACACACCGAGATGTGTATAAGAGACAGAGCCTAAACCGTGGCCCTACGGGCTGTCTCTTATACACACCGAGATGTGTATAAGAGACAGAGCCTAAACCGTGGCCCTACGGGCTGTCTCTTATACACACCGAGATGTGTATAAGAGACAGAGCCTAAACCGTGGCCCTACGGGCTGTCTCTTATACACACCGAGATGTGTATAAGAGACAGAGCCTAAACCGTGGCCCTACGGGCTGTCTCTTATACACACCGAGATGTGTATAAGAGACAGAGCCTAAACCGTGGCCCTACGGGCTGTCTCTTATACACACCGAGATGTGTATAAGAGACAGAGCCTAAACCGTGGCCCTACGGGCTGTCTCTTATACACACCGAGATGTGTATAAGAGACAGAGCCTAAACCGTGGCCCTACGGGCTGTCTCTTATACACATCTAACCGCAGACCTAGCGTCCAACCCGTAAGGCCACGGTTTAGGCTAGATTGCGGCCGCTAGAGCCTGATTTAGGAGCCGCGTAACCTTGACATAACATTGACATAACCGCAGACATAGCGTCCAACCCGTAAGGCCACGGTTTAGGCTAGATTTCGGCCGCTAGAGCCTGATTTAGGAGCCGCATAACATTGACATAACCGGTGACGTAGCATCCAACCCTTAGGGCCACAGTTTAGGCTAGACTACAGCCGCTAGAGCGTGATTTAGGAGCCGCATAACCTTGACATAACATTGACATAACCGCAGACATAACGTCCAACCCGTAGGGCCACGGTTTAGGCTAGACCGCGGCCGCTAGAGCCTGATTTAGGAGCCGCATAACATTGACATAACTGCAGACATAGCATCCAACCCGTAGGGCCACAGTTTAGGCTAGACTGCGGCCGCTAGAGCCTGATTTAGGAGCCGCGTAACCTTGACATAACCATGACATAGCGTCCAACCCGTAGGGCCACAGTTTAGGCTAGACCGCGGCCGCTAGAGCCTGATTTAGGAGCCGCCCGTGGCGCCCGGTTTTCCATGGATTGCTAACGGTGTGTTCTATCAGGTCCGTGGAGCGCGACGACGAGCCCCGTCAGGACGCCCAGTCCCATTCGTCACATCGTACACAGTCGACCCTACGGGACGACCAGCCTGGAGCAGCGATCGAGGAGTCCCAGCCCCGTAGGCGGCCGGCAGTCCGCCCATCCGCACCAGCATTATCATCGGCATCATCCCCATCAGCACAGCCACCCGGTGCTAGCGACCAGGAGAGAGCCGCGTCGCCGACTGCCACAGACGCCCAACAAGCCATCGACCCTTCAGCTCAAGTCGGCGAACATCAACTTCCCGAAGGTGAACGCGTCACCGACGCACGTGCCCATCCCGCCGGGCATGCAGCACCCGCCGCCGCCCGGCCACGTGCCGGGCATGCAACCGAGCCATTGCCCGCTCAGTTTCGAGCAGGCCGTCGCGATGGGACGCGGGGGCCGTTTACTGCCCAGCCCCGTGCCCAACGGGTACAAGCCCCAGCCGCAGGCTAAACAGAGGACACCCAGGTGAGCAAACGGCACTTGGTGCACCGTCGCTGGATTCGAGAATAAGGCGCTCGACATGATGCTTTAGCATAGTTAGCGTTTTGCATATTCCAGTGATGGGGAACATTCACTTTGCACACTGTAGTAGACACGTGTTCGCGTTATGCGGGTGGCTTGGAGATTATGTAGATGACTTTCTGGAACGGAGATTATGTTTCTTTTGAAGTTGGCGCGGGGGATAGTTTTGAGACGATTGATCCGTGGAGATTCTGTGGGGGAGTTTGAGAAGAGTATGGGATTCTAGGAGATTGTATGATATGGGTATATTTTTTATGAGAGCTTGGGAGATATCGTTTCTTCATTGTTTTTATCGTTCCAATCAATCGCTATCTAAAACACTTTTTATGTTTGAAGAGTATGCGAGTGCGAGATACTATGAGATACTATGAGATTCTATGAGATTGTATGAGATTCTATAGAATAGGTATATTTTTTATAACAGCTTAAGAAACATCGTTTCTTAATTTTTTTATTACTCCAATTAGTTGCAATCTAAAAAACATGAAAAGGTTTCTAGATTGCGATCGATTGGAATGATGAAATAATTAAAGACTAATGTTTCTTAAGCTTTTATAAAAAAATACACTCGCAATCTAAGATATTATCGCAAATATAATTGCAATCTAAAAAACATGAAAAGTTTTTTAACATAAAATTAAGTGCTAAAGAAGGGACTACTAAACCGAAAAAAGGACTACTCTTTTTGCTTAAAATTCGTGGAAAACAGCGATTCTCGTGAACTTCTAATTGTCCAGGTCAACGAATTTCGATGAAATTGCAAACAAAATAGCGAACGAAGTACATTTTCTAAATCTTCGTGATGAGCTCGGATAAAAAACTAAAAAAGCATCGTTTCTTAATTTTTCCATCGTTCCAATGAATCGCAATCTAAAAACAACTTTCTTTACACTCATCTCAAAGAAAACTAATCGTTATAACATCTCAAAAATATTCGACTCTTCCAAACCAATTTTAAAAAAGTTATACCGTTCGAAAAAGCGTCAACATACTTTGCGAGGCGACTGTACCTCCTCCAGAGTTTACGTACAGTAAATTCTCCCTAATTGACGCTGAGATTACGCAAGAAAATGAACAATTCGGGAAGAGGAGACACGATTATTCGAGCCTCGCGTCTCGTTTCCATAGTCAGCGTTTGCCAACAACTATAAAAACGAACCGGAAGCCTCCAAATAATCGTGTCTCCTCTTCCCAAATTGCCCATTCTTGCACCCAATCGTCGATCAAAGAAAATTTACTATACACAAAATCTCCAAGCTTTCGTATACCACGAGTAGGTTTGCGAAAAATATACAGATGCGTGTTAACAAGTCGAGATAATA